AGTAGAGGAGTTTGGCTTTTCAGGACAGCAATGTGGCATTTCTGGCATTCTATCCCCATGTCACTAATATGAGCAATTGTGTCTGCCACCAAAAGTAATGGGTAGGGATTCTCCACAGTGGGTCTCTGATGTGGGATGGGCACTGCTCCTGACTCTGCTGCCACTGGGCCTGAGCTCTGGCCCTCCTGAAGACAGGCAAGCTAACTCGTGTCCTTGGATAAGTCGTGTTTTTGTTCAACCCAAGCAGAGTAGATCCTGTTTTCTGCAACATAGAGCCCTAACTAATACCCTCTGGGTTAAGCAGCATTCTCCAGAGAAATAGAACTAATATTTGTATACAAACACAGACACATACACACACACACACACATATTATAGAAAGAGATGTATTATACAGTATATGGTAGCAGCTCAAGAAATTATGGTTGCTGGAAAGTCAATCTGCCATCTGCAAGCAGGAGCCTGGGAAGGGCCAGTAGTAAATTCCAAGGCCAGTGGTGTATTCTTGGGCAGAGAGAGCTCAGATCTAAACTTCCTCAGCCTTTTTTATTCTACTCAGACCCTTAAGGATTGGATGGTGCCCACCCATATTAGAGAGGACTATCTGCTTTACTCAATCTAGCAAATTCAAGATCTAATCTCTTCCAGAAACACTCTCACAGACATATCCAGAGACCATGTTTAATCAGCTATCTGGGCATCCTGCGGTCCAGTCATGTTGACACATAAAATTGACCATCACACCCTCCCTAACCAGGCCCTAAGACCCTTGAGTAGGGGAATGCTTGGGAGTTGTTTGTTGGTATATTATCAGCCTCTAGTAAGGGGCGTGTGACCTAAGCAGGCGCTGAGTAAAGTGTGGATGGCCCAGCTGACCCAGAGACCAACAGGAGTGCCCGTGGAAGTTCCTGAGAACAACCTCCTATCAGACCCTTCCCCAGGTATTGCTCTCCGAGCTGAAGTCAGGTGCATTCCTGCTTCATGCCCAGCAGGGACACCACTGTGCAGCTTGGCCTGGTGGGGTTCTGGGTTTGCTCCCCCTGCCTGAGTCCCCTTATCCAGGAAGGCTTCCCTGACTGCTCCTCCCCTCACCCATATCCCACCCTCTGAGCTCCCACATTCCAACGCTCTGGTTCTTAGGTCCAGGCTCGGGATCATCCCTGGGGATCCTCTTGACACTCCTGGGGGGTCTCTGAGAGTAGAGAATAGGCCTCTCATTTTTATTTCTCCTCTTCCTATTCCTCTTCAAGCCCAAGCACAATGGGAGGGAAGTCGAGTTTCTTCCTTCCCTTCAAGAAACTCTCCTTTCGGTACCCAATGGGAGGCTCAGGAAATCCTGCTTTTCCCACAGAAAGCCAGGGACCCTGGAAGGCCCCCTCTGGTCGGAATCCTCCACAGACTCCAGTGGGCACTGGTTTTCCTGACTCTGCAGTTCTCACCCTTCCTGTCTGCTTCTCAGTCCTCCAGACTGGTGTCTTGAGGAGCTAAGAGTGTCCTCCCCGGCCATGCCCCTTCCACCCCACCTACACTGATCAGACCAGATACCCTTCTTCCACCAGGCTTAGGCTGGCTGAGCCCCACCAGTGTCACAGCATCCTGCCTGGCCTGGTCCAGCGGGCGGGTCACTCGCCCAGGACTCTTGGCCGCAGTTAGTCTGCCACATGGTGGTCAGCACAAGCATTGCGCCTCTCACCTCGCCATCCATCTCCCTTCTGTCATCTGCTGACCAAGCCCCTCCTGCTGCAGATGGGGAAACGGAGGTCCTGACAGAGGAAGAGTTTGCCTGTCAAGGCATCTGCCCAGAAATCCGGAGGCAGCCCCCTCCACAAATCCCAGTCAGAGAAGTGGCAGAATGTGAAGCCCCAGGTGAAACTGGAAGAGAAGAGGTGGACTTGCAACCATGTGAGGGGAAGAGATGAGAGATTCACAACACACTGCCGACACCATAAACTAACTGGTAACACTAACTGCTAACTAACCACAAACGCCACTAATGAACAATTAACATTAACTAACACTAACCACTAACTAGCCGCTAACTGCTAACACTAACTGCTCACTAACCATTAACATGAACCACTAACATTAATTTATACTAACAACTAATAATCACCAACTGCTAATTAATCACTAACACTAACCACTAATTCACTGATGCTAGCCACTAACTAGACACTAACTAGCACTAGCAAGCTAACACTAACCACTAACACTGCTGTGCTAACACCACTACTAGCACTGTTAACACTAGTTAAAACTCAGAGAGACAAAGATACTGGTCATGACTTCAGCCTCAGACAGGGACTGCTCCCCACTTCACCCCTCATCCTCCTCCGTGTGACCGCAGGAAGCTCTGCCCAGCCTGCCCGGCGGCAGTGTGACCTCGGAGGCCTTGCCATTTGAGTGCCGATACCACCACCCTGCTCCAGCTCATGTGTATCCTTCCTACTGTATCTTGGTGCCCTTTTAAAAATGTACGTGTAGGACTTGGTTTCCAACTTTGTTAAAAATCAAAAACAAAAAAGGATGAAAGGATATAGAAAAGCGTCCCGTGCCAGGAGGAGAAGTTGCATCTCTCTAGCCAGTTGAACGATTGCTCTACCCACTTCAAAGCCCCAGCTGAAGACAGAAGGGTCTGTGGGCCCCGACAGAGCCATGGAAGAGCCTGACCCAGGATGCTCTGGGTGCAGGTGTGAGTGGCATGTGGGCACTGAGCATGTCTGCGGGAAGGCCGGGGCTCATGTCACCATCCCCCTCCTCACTAGAGGGAAAAGCATGAGAAAACTGTGTCGTGAAGCATTTTGTGCCCTTTAATTTTTTTTTGTACAGATGCTTTTGTCACCGAGACATGAAAAGCTGCCATTCTTTTTCACCTATATTTTTAAATGTCTCTTTGTAGTGTGGTCACACTTAGATCTAAGAATTTTCCCCAGAAAAGAAAAGCTATTTGTAATGATAATGACCAAGCTTTAAAACTGTCATGCCAACACTGGGTGCAGGAATACACTAGACCAACTTTTCTGGAAGGCGATTTGCCACTAGGTATTACAAGACTTATCACATGCATTGCACTGACTGAAACATTCTAGGTCTGGGAAAATTTATTTGGAAAGTCTAGGAGTTTATTCCAAAGTTTTTCTGTTTTTGAGGTACACCTGAACGATGGTGTGCCAGGAAGCTTATCGACATAGTTGCTTATTTTTAAAAATAGGGAGAAACTTTCACCAATAGGAGATTTGTTAAATAACTATTTGCTAACCCAAGAATATTATATGGACTTTACAAATTATGTAGCAGAAAAAAGTGTTTGCACGTGTTCTCCAAAAGCCACCCATGTACTCTTTTTAAAATAACAGCTTTATTGAGATATAATTTACATGCTATAAAATTCACCCTTTTAAAGTGTATGATTCAGTGGTTTTTCATATATTCACAGAGTTGCAACCATCACCACTATCTAATTTTAGAACATTTCATCAGGGTAGTGGGGGAAAGAAAAGGAATGTCAGAGAAGGCTGGTGTTGCAAGAAAGGCTTCCTGGAGGTGCGGGCAACGGAACTGAGTTCTGCAGGACAGATCTGCTGTGGGTGGACCAGGAAGGGGAAAGATTTTCATTCTGACCTGTACAGTGTCCATTTCTGTCTGTTCTCCGTCCTGAAATCTCCCTCCATCCGCATCAGTCAACAAACAAGTTCATGGACAGTGCCCAGGTCTGCCCTCCTCCTTCCTGTCAAGGAGGAGGCTGGAAGAGGGACGAACGGAGTTGATATGTTACAATAAGCGGGCCTGTCCTTGGGTAGGGGGCAGCAGGCAGCAGGCTGGGCCTTGGAAGGGCACGTAGAGGGGTGAGGGGGACATAAGAAAAGGACCAGGAGTTGAGGGATCTCCACCCCAGAGAAAAATGAGGAAAGATACAATTTCCAGAAGAGGAAACCCAAAAGGCTAGCAGGCACCAGAAGAGACGCTCATGCTCATTAGTTATCGGGGAGATGCAAATTAGAACAACACCACCGTGCCACTTTACACACTTGGCTTGCAAACCAAGCTGGGTAATGCCAAGTGTTGGTAGGGCTGCCGGGATTCAGGAACCTCAAGAGCTGCTGGTGGGAGTGCGGATCTGCAGGCGAGCAATCTGGCACTACTTAGTCATCGAGAAGAGGCACATAGGGCACAGCATTGCTCTTCCCGGGCAAGGGTCTTGGAGAAAGGCTCTCTGTCATACGCTCCCTGGGGGACAAGCTTGTGAATGCTCACCTAGAGGGCAGGGAAGACAGGACAGAAGAGCAGCACGAGGGCGATGACACCACGTGGCACCATATGTAGTCAAAACAAAGGACCAGATGTGCGCACAGCAACATGAGTGGATCTTTTAAAAGCACAGTGCTGAGGGGGAATTGTTAGAAGCGGGATGAGCCACATAACTGATAGCGTGAATATAAATTAAAAGCGTAGACACACAAAAGCCTACAGATTTTGCAGGATCCACAGAAATACAAATATTCACATTAAACACACCCATATGTTTGCCTATGGAAGGAGGGGCACAGGAGTGAGAGTTGGGATAAAAGACAGTACCTTTTGAAAATAAATAAAACAGACAAATGAGTAGAAAGTGGCATGAGCTGAAGAATGATAAATGCAACTGTGCACTGGAGGTGCAACTACAGGAGGTGGACCCACTCGCCTTTAGAGGTTCACGTATTCACTCAAACATAGACTATTCATGTCCAAGTTTATTGGTTTGGCTGGGCCTTGGGTTATATACACCCCCAACACCCTGGCGAGAGGAACCAGTAAGAACAGACACAGAAGAACCAAGGAAGTCAGAGGTGGGCGTGCAGGGATCTAGGGAAAGAGTCCAAGACAGGGCTGGGCAGCAGCTTGTGGGATGGGGAGTTGTAAAGGCTCTCGGGGCACTCTTATTGTTCCTCCAGAGGGTGGCAGACCCACTGCAGCTGCCTCAGCTCAGGTGTGGACTCCAGCCGCATGATGGGGCCAGCCTAGCACACAGATGTCAGCCCCTGCACCCCAGAGCAGGAAGGCCTGGTCCACTTAGCTTGGGTCCTCCGGGCTGGCAGAAGCTCAGGGTCATGGCCATGCCACTTGCGTGAGATCTCAGTCCTCACCTCCAGGGACAAGGGAGAAGATGTTAGGAAGGTATCACTGCAGCTTTGTTACTCAACCCCAGTGAGACTGAGGGTGCAGGAGGGGCCCCGTGGGAGAGACAGAGAGAGACGTGGGGCCGGGACAGCATTACACTGCCTCCTTGCTGCATTTCTGGCCGTTCTCTTCACTCCTTTCTCTACCTTTTTGCACTGCCTTTCTCTGAGCCCACTTAAGGCATTTACAGGTGCTTTCTTAAGTTCCTGGCCAAATAACTACTCTGTTCTCCCTGTACAACTTAGACCAGCCCCTGCTCTGGGGTTCAGTTTTGTGAGTTCAACTCTGGCCACTGTGAATCTGTCCATAGGACAAGGTCCAAAGGGAGAGAGGACCCAGAACCTGTCTGAGGGAGGTGAGGGAACTGAAGGTAAATGAATGAGAAGTGGCCTCGGGTGGATGGGGTGGGGGTCATCTGTATCTTTACAAATTCAAGTGGCTGTCAGGGAAAAGAGGGAGCCAAAAGGTGATGACCCACTTGACAACGCTGACCAACCACTAGAGCTGCAGCAATAGAGAAAAAGGAGAACGACTTTTGTTCAGCATAAAGACGGTCTTCCCTACAGCTGTCTGACAACAGAAAGAGCTGTTGGTAGGTAGTAAGCTCCCTGTCAGCAGAGGTATGTAACCGTATGGTATCCAACACTGCTTCTTGAGACAATCCTCTCACAAGTCTTCATGGGAACTCCCTTCCCAGATCCCACTGGTCTAGGCTAGGGCTGCTCCTTGTCCCTCCCAGGGCCCATGACACCACAGTTCTGTGTCTGCAGCTCAGACATCAGATAAGGATGTAGAAGACTCAGAGAGGCTGCGTTAGGGGTGAAGAGACCCTGAAGGAATGAGCACTTACAGACAGAGGTGGGAGGTGGGGTGGGGTGCAATACTCTACAGCTAGGGGATAGGGCACATGCAGTCAGTTCTTTAGCACCATGCAGAGCCCATGGCAAACAATGGGCACCAGAAGGAGCCCATCCCCCTGCTCACGCCCACAGCACAGAGGCCTAGGAATCTGGACACTGAGATAAATTCTCCCATCTCTCTCCCAGGAGAAAGACTGACCTAAAGGGAAAATCAGTGTCTTCTGGGTGGAATTCACTTTTCCTGTCTCTGCCATCTTACCGTGTTTCTGCAGGTGTGGCAGTGCCATCTATTCTGTCTACTCATGTCTATTCTCTTCATGTGTCTTTCTTCTAAGTGCTTTCTGCTTCCCCAGCTCTGCTCTGGCCCTTCCTCCTGGTCTCTACATCTGACTCTATTTTCCTAGTTCCCTGCATGTCTATTACTTTCTCGGTTCTTCTGTCTCTGCTCTCTCTGACCATCTCTCTCCCAACTGACATACTCCTTCTCCCACTGTTCCTTATGTTCAATTTTGGGGACACAGAGTTGAGCGATCACTTTAGACTCCCTGCTTTGATTCCTCTCCTGATCCTTGAAAGGCCTTCCTCCCTCCTAGTGAGTAGATGGTAGAACTTGGCCCAGCTCAGATGAACGACAGATAAAGGATGTTTACAGAAAACATTCAGGTTCAGCTTGATCCAGGAGCTCAGGACAGACCACCACAAACAATAATAGGAGTCAAGGTGTAGCCCGAACTGGAATTTACAGAGGCTTGGCAGGTGGAAAGTGGGGCTCAATAAGTAGAGGATAGCCCTGAGAATCACACACCTCTTGGTTGAGGAAGCAGTAGAGGACAGCAACAATGAAGCCCTGTAAGCCCAAAGAGAAAGAACCCCATCAGAACACTTTGGCCTGGCCTCAGTTCCAATAGTCTTTCTACCACCTTTTACCTACCCGGCCCCAGGCTGTGGCTTGAGCCAGGTCTGTGCCCAAAGGAAATTTAGATCCATTCACTTACTATGAACCAGGCATATGGTCTCATATAATTTCCAAAACAAGCCTGCCCAGGGCTGTATTGTTCACCCCATTTCTCTGGCTTTCTTTATTTCTGTATCCCCCATAATGAGCATATCACTTGGCACATAAAAGGGCTCAGTAAAAGTTGCATAGGTAGGATGGATAGATGATTGGATGGATAGGTAAATGGGTGCATGTGTAGTGGAATGAATAGAGTGATGGAGGGATGGATAGAAGATAGGCAGACTGATAGATGAATAGATATATGAATAAGAATAGCCTTTGCCCTATCATGAAGTCAGAAAAGACCTGAGGGCAACAGCACCTCCCTCCTGCCCAAGGACTTAAAGGGAAAGACCACCTATGGGGCCCTCACCTGGAAGGAGCCCAGTCCCAGCTCCAATGGGAGGCGGATGCCCAGGCCAGCATTGTCAGGCAGGAAGTTAAAGATGATATAGTGAATTCCAAACAGTGGGATAAGAAGAAGCGTCGACTTGGAGAGACGCCTGTAAGAAAGACAAAACCGAGGCTCCCAAGGCTGAGATTATAGATACCTATGTGTACCCTGTCTGCTCTCACTCCAGCACCTCCCATGTCCATCCTGTGCGTCAGCCACCCCAGGAAACTCCACCTCCCCACACTCAGCCTGGGCTTCCTTACTTTGGGGACCTGCATCCTGCTGTTTCCTCTGCCAAGTGCTCTTGTCACAGTATATTCCAAAGTCTATGAGTCTTGTTCAAAGTCTAATTCAAAGACGGCTTCCTCCAAGGAGTCTTCCCTGACCTTCCCTTCAACCCTCTTTGGAGAGGTTCTCCCTCCCAGGTTCCCATAGAATTGATCCCAGCACTCAGCCTATTTAGCATAGAGTCCCCACTTTCCCATGTGGTGGTTTCCTAGCAGGAAGGGACAAGGTCTATACTCTCTCTGGGAATACTGGGAAGATCATGAATGCCTGCTGGATGAGAGAAAACCACATTGACTCCCTCTCCAGTGTGCCCTACAAACACCCACCCACACACACACACACACACACACAGTACCAATACTGAGACTGGGTGTGGAGGCTGCCCTGAGCTGGTTCCAATTTCCTCAGCAGGATGCGAATAATATTAAGAAAAAGCCCAAAGTTCACCTGAAAGTAGAAGTGCAGGAAGATGGAGGGCAAGTATTAGCGTAGCCCGGAGCCCCAGCACCTTTGAGTCTGAAAACCCCAAATCCTTGAGACACTGGGGTGTGCAGGCAGATGGACAAACAGATCATGTGGGAACCTAGAGGTGGGGAGGTCCCACATGCCCACAGGCAAGCCTTGGAGGGCAGAGGAGGCCTCAGGGTCCTCCTCCTCTCCAATCCCAGGAACAGGTTGGGAGGGTCAGGTCTTGTCATCTGCCTCCAGCCACTTCCAGGCTCTTTTCTCTCACTTTGACCAGTTGCTAAATTGAGACAAATCTGCACACTTACCAAAGTGGTGTGAAGCCACCCTCCCTGGCTCTGTGTTACAGGTGGGAGCAGGGGCATGAACGCTCAGCGCAGGCTCGGTGGGCTTCCTCCCACCCGAGCCTCACCCGGCAACGGGAGATGCTCTGCAACCAGCACCCCAGGGTCTACCAAAACCTGAGCTAGAGGGGCCTGCATGCTGGTTGAAACCCCGCCCCTCAGATTTACCAACGGGACATTGTAACCCAGAGAGGGCCTCCCAGAGAATCAGAGACAGAGCAAGGCCGGAACCCAGGTTTCCCGACTCCCAGCCTGGATTTGAGTTTCCTGTTGGGCAAGGCCCCTCGGTGGGTCCAGAGAGGTTGGTTGAATAAAGCAAAAGTTGCTCGCCCAGGAACTGACCGCAACGGAGAGCACGATGGGCCCTTTGATGATCCACCAGTAGGGGGAGCTGTCGTCCAGGTCCCAGCACCTAGAGAGGACGCCGAGAACGCAAAGGCTGGAAAGACCCCTCTTCTGTAGTAGCCCAGGCCCCTCTCTCCTCTCTCGGGCATTCACGTCTTCGGTTCTCATCCCATCTCTCTTCCCCGCTTCCAGCCTTTCCCGGCTCAGCCAGTTAGGTCCCCCTCTGAAAGGGGCGCCCCAATCCAAGCTAGGTTCACCCTTTCCCTTCACCTAAATGAATAAACTTCTCCAAAATCAGTCTGTCTGCTCGATGCCCCCTTACTGGCCCCGACACTTCTCTTGAGGCCTCGCTCACAGCGCCCGCTCTCTGCCCGGCTCATGCCCCTTCTGAGCTCTCCAGAGTGCCTCCTCCCCGGTACCCCGCCCAGACTGTCCCCCTCCTCCTTCCAGCCTGGACAGCGTCCCATTCCAGGCCCCCGCTGACCCAGGGCGGGTGAGTTCAGACTCACGCGATGTCCTCGAAAGCCAGCTTGCAGCCCACCCACGTGCCGGTGAGGATCATGGGCAGCCCTGTAGGGGCGCAGAGGAGACAGGAGGGAGCCGGCTGCATCCTGGCTCTGAGATCCGGCCTCACCTCCCACCCCACTGGTCACCATCGCCACTGCCACTGCCAACCACAGGGGCACTTCGAAGCGAGCACTCTCTCGCACTTTCTGTAGGTCTTGGGCCCCCTTCCCCTCTCTGAGGCTCAGGGTGTGTGAGCTCCCGGGGCCCCCTGCCCACAGCCCTTCTCCTCCCTGCGGAGTCCAGCCAGCCCTCGGTGCTCACCCCAGCCAGCAAGAACCAGCCACCAGAAGGCGCTCCTGGAGCCGGGGGAGGTAGAGGCCAGGAGGCAGGTCAGGTAGACGGCTTCTGCCAACAGCCAGCTGAAGTTGGTCATGGTGGCAAAATGGGAGGTTGCCACAGAGACCTTGCACAGAACCTAGGGGCCGGGACCTGGGTGCTTCAGAGCCGTGCTGCCCACTGGAGGGCCTACCTGTCTACCCCACCGCACTTAGACCTGGAACGTCCAGCCCCGCTCCACCTTAGGCTGGATTATCCGACTCCTTGAGCTCCCCTAGAGGGGACGTGGCAGCGTAATGTGATGGTTACGGGCACAGAGTTGGGATCCAGACAGCCTGAACTCGAGTTTACCATCTATTAGCTGTGCAAACCTCCTCACGCCTTGGCCTTTCATCAATACCTAGTTTAGGTCCTTGTCATAAGGATTAAACTGCCTAAGAATTGCTTCTGCTTTCACTGCCCTTCCACCCTTCCTTGAGCTCAGGTCAATCCCTAGAGCTGTGACTAGAGTATTTATTCATGTACACCTGTGTCTTACACACACACACACACACCTGTGCGTGCATCCATTCACTGCACGACTCACTCATGTGTCAGAGCCAGCAGGACCATCTCTGAGCTCAGGGAGTCCAGGTTTGGGCCCAACCCCACCACTGTGCAGTTGGGTGACCTTGCCAATTGCCCCTCATCTACAAAATGGGATTAAAACGATAACTTTCTTCTTTAAGTTGTTCTGAAGATCAAAGGAGATAATACAGTTGACCCCTGAAGGACACAGGTTTGAACTGCCTGGGTTCAGTTGGACCCAGATATTCCTCCGCCTTTGCCACCCTGAGACAGGAAGATCAACCCCACTTTTTTCCCCTCCTCCTCACCCTACTCAGTGGGAAAATGACAGGATGAAAACCTTTATGATGCTCTGCTTCCACTTAATAGTCGACATATTTTCTCTTCTGTATGGTTTTCTTAATAACAGCTTATTTTCTCTAGTTTACTTTATTGTAAGAATATGGTTTATATTAATAATACATATAACGTACAAAATATGTATTAATTGACTGTCTGTGTTACCAGTGAGGCTTCCAGTCAATCGTAGGCTATCAATGGTTAAGTTTGGCGGAGTCAAACGTTATATGTAGACTTTCAGCTGTGTGGGAGTTGACCCCCTAACCTGTGTTCTTTAAAGGCCCCTGTATGATGTAAAGCACTTACTGCAATGCCTGGCCCATAATAAACCTCATCACATACTATTACTAATTCTTTCATTAATTAACTGAGGTCATTTGTTAGTTTGTTTACTCAGTTACCCATTCATTTCCAGCACAGTTTTAGAGGATCTACTAGGTGCTGGGCCTGAATACTTTGCCCAACTTCCTTTAAATCTCAGTCTCCTCCTATTCCTCCACCCACTCCAGTTCCTCACTCACGCCCCAGGTCCTCCTGTCTTGAAGAGTGTGTGCCCCTCCACTTGGTGTGTCCTCCCTCCCACCTCATCTCCCCATAGTGACTCTTACCCAGCTTCAAAGCCACCTCCTCCCTGAAGCCCTCTCTCATTCTCTCTCAGCTCTTAGCTCCCTCCACCTAGGAGTCCCATAATCTGCATTGCATTCTGTCCCCTGGGCGCTTCATGAAGGAGGCACCCAGCTCTGCCCAGCCACAGGTGGACAAGTGCTCAGGGAGATAGGAAAGGCAAGGGTGGGGCAGAGTGAAATGTGCTCTCGGGTGGAATATGGAATGTGGAGGTGCAGCGTGGGGGGAAAGGCAGGGACTGGCACTACAGCTCAGGAAGGGTATGAGGATTTAGGGCCCGTCACGGGGAGGGGTGATTTCCCTTTCCATAACTGTCCAGGTAGGAGCCCCAAGCCCAGGCCCTAGGATAAGTCAGGCACATTGAGGTCCCTAATCCCACCTCCTATGCCCACCCACCCCAACCCTCCACCCATGGGCATTACAGTGGAGAAGCTGCAGTGGTCAGTGTCATCCCCGTGGAAGAGGGCGGCGTCCTTCAGGAACACAGCCCCTGCCTTGAGGATGAAGGTGGTGAACAGCTGGGTATGGATGTAGTTCCGGGGGCAGTGGAGCCGCCTGGGGGGGATGGGAGAGATGGATGAGGGGCAGGAGGCCAAGTTGGAGGGCTTCCACTGTGCCACAACAGGGGCCTGGCAAGGCTGGGCTGACCAGTGCAGGAGGTGAATCGAATTGAGTTGAATTAAATTGAGCTGAACTTGAGGCTTCAGTTTTAAGACAACTGACCAGCCACTGCCTTAGACTCAGTACAGGTGCAGGAACAGAGAAAAGTACTAGTCCCTGCCTCAAAGGCATTCATGGTATAGGGGCACAGCGGCAAAAACGGTGGGCACTGCCAGTGGAAGCCCCCTGGGTTATCAGAGAGAAGACTCATCCCCAAGAGACAAAGAACGGCACAGGCCAGAGGTGGGACTCAGACTTTGAAGTCCAGGAGGCCTTACAAGAGACAATGGTCAGATAGTTGGAACAGTCAAGAAGAGCTCTGTGAAGGAGGCAAAAGGATTCTTAGATGCAGGTGGGAGCTGGGCTTTGGATTTTGATGGGTGTAAATACACTGACCAAAAGGAGGCAATCCAAGCAAACAGAATGAGCACCACATCACTAAGGTGTGGAGGGAGCAGTGAGCTCTGGTGTGTAAAGAGATGGGTCTAGTTGGGGAAAAGGGAAGGACAATGGATATAGTGTCTACATCTGGGAACCTCTTGGCTACTGAGACAAGGAGTCAGACTTGGTCCTCCAGGCAATAGGAAGCCCATGAAGATGCTTGAGGTGGGGATGAGGATGGCAAACCTGAGAGTGAGCAGGATGGTGATGGCCATAAAGAGGGCTACAACCGAGATGCTATGGCCCATGGTGTAGATGATCTTCATTGCAGAGAAGTACGATTTCTGAGGAGAGTAAGATAGAAGGTCTTTGCAGGGCTTTGGGGGAAAGGGAGGCTTGGCAATCGAGCAGGTGAAGCCTTTGCAGTTCCACCCAAAGCTTCCCATCCAGGGCAGAGGTGTCTGCGGTAACGTGGAAAACTCCCTCTGTGCACTGAAGCTTCTGTTTACAGCCCATCTTTCCCCAGCCTGCTGGTGAGGGAGGGACAGTGGTGGCAGTAGAGATGCTTAACACTTACTGTGCTCTGGGGTGGGGAGAGGCAGCAGCAGAAACTGCATGTCCCTGGGGAATGACAACAGCCTGAGAGGAAATCAGCTTGTTTATTGACATCCAGCTTGCTTGCTGGCTTGGGAACACAACATCCCCAAATAAGGAGACAGCCAGGGACAGCTGGGAACAGCCAGGGACAGCTTGGAACAGCCACAGGCAAAAGCTTCCCATCCAGGTGTTCCAATCAATCAGAATCCATCCTGGCCCCCAGAAATGGAGGGTGCAGGCAAGGGAAGCGAGCTGGGACCCAGGCACTGGCCCCAGTTTCAGCTCTTCTGTGGGACTCGGGCAATCAGCACCTCTCTCTGACTCAGTCTTTTTATCTGATGAGGTCATGTGTTACCTTTCAGGGCCATGGGAGAGAGACATGAGATGATAGATGTGGAAGCACCTTGCAAAGCCCTGCTCCATGCAGAAGTGTGGGTGCACTGGCTGGAGGTAGGGGATCTCTGTGATCATGTCTGGGCCTGAGTTTCCCTCATCTGCCCACACCATAGCCATGCACACTGCTCCACAGGTTGGGGCCTGGAGAATGAAGGAAGAGCTTTCCCTGGGTTACCAGGAGCCTTGTTTCCTCTGGAGCCACTCAAAACTTCCTGCCTTGGAGGCCTGAGCACAGAAAGGAAAGAGTGCCCAGCACTGTCACACCTGCTCTCTGCTGTTCCTCTCCTCCAAGCAACTTGGCCAATGTGCCACCCTTGAGGAATCAGGCAACCACTCCCTCACCTCTGGACACTTTACTGCCCTCTGCTGGAAAACCACTGCAATTAATCATCCAACCTGCCCGCCAGAAAGGGAATGGCAGGCCCCATTGCTGCTCAGTCCTCCTCTCATACAAATGTCCATGGCAATCCTGCCTCCAGATGCTGGAAAACTTACCTCCTCAGCCAGCAGCTCCAGGGGCACAGGGCAGGCCACAGTGTAAGGTGGGAAAGGCTCAGACCACCCTGTCATGGTACAATCCCGCTTCACAGCCCCTAGGAGGCAAGTGAGAGGCTCTGGTCACAACTCCTTCCCTTGCCCCAGGAGGCACTGTGGACCACTGAGTAACCCTGGCAGGGTTTGCACAGGCAGTCCTTGTTGGTGCAGAGAGAGGGCAACCTTCCCTCTAGAAGCCTGGGCTCCAGGTCCACTCTGCCTAGAACACACACTGGGCCCTTCCCCCCTGCCCTTAACGGTATCGCTTATAACCAGAGAAAGTCATCCCCCTGAGGGGCAGAAAGGAGTGAGCGGGGCTACCAGCATCCTAAGGAAGTGGGGAAGACATTCAGGCCAGGGAGGCGGGGCAGGAGGCAAGGCGCCTTCTACCCTCCCCATCCTGGGCAGCTGGTGACCCTGGCATTCAGACAGGCCCTGCCCTCCCCTGCCCTCCTCCTTGCCTCCTGCTAACATCCAGAGAGCATGTGCTCATGCAGAGCTCCAGGTTAATACTCATATCTCCCCAAGTCAAGGGTCAGGATCACACCAGCAGAGAGGATGTTAGTATTCAAACCAGGTCTGTCTGCCCAAAAGCCAATGACGTGTTACTGCCACTGGTAATTCTGCCACTTCCAGATGAAACTACCTCCCTTCCCACTGCCTCTCCCAAGACCCCTCACCTGGCTCTGAGCTGAAGTGAGAAAAGAAATCCGGGCAGGGGAGGGTGACCCACTCTCCAGAGCCTGCCACTGGCCAGCACAGCAGTCCATCCCAGGTCCTAGGGCAGCCTAGGTAGAGAGATGGGGAAGGCCAGACTCAGGGTAAGGTTGCCCCTGACATTCTAAGTGGTAAGGCACAGACAGTGAGGGAATCAGAGGAGCCCATACCCATGGTAGTGTTGGGCATCCCATCCGCTGCTTGCAGACAGGAAATCTCGTCCTCTCTCAACTGGGTGATGACATCACATTCTGGGTGCACATAGCCCAGTGCCTGCAGGAAGGAGTTAACAGGGTGAGTCAAGTCAAGGTGCTCTGATCTGCGTGGCCTGAGAACAGAGACAGAGCTTGGTTCATACTGAGCCTAAGCACGGGCCTGTCCCACAGTGCTTACAGGTACGTTTGAATGTTCAGGTGTAGGAGTGGAGGGAAGGAGGAAGGGGAGGGAGAGAAGAATGAAAGGGGAAGGCAGAGGGAGGATGGAAAAAGAGAGGAAGGAGGGAAGCTTCCGCTTTCCATCCCGTGGCAGTGAGTTCTGAGACACATTGACCAAATGCTTCAGAAACTCTCACAGAGACACAGATATGGCCATCTCAGTCCTTGCAGTGGCCATTCCTCCTTCCCTGTGTCACTTTTTTTGTTCTGCATTCCTGCTCCTTGGAAACAATTCTGCATAAACTATCTTGGTAGGTGGAATGATGGCCCCCAAAGATGTTCTAGTCCCTGGAATCTGTAAATATATTCCCTTACGTGGCAAATGGACTCTGCAGATGAGGTTAAGCTGAGGGCTTTGAGAAGAGGAGATGAGCCTTATAATGCGAAGGGGAGAGAAAGCCTGAGATTCGAAGATACACAGATATACTGCTGGCTGTGGAGATGGAGGCTGGGGCCACAAGCCAAGGAAATGGACCCTCCCCACCGTCCCCTCACGGTATGCAGGAAGCAATGCAGCCCTGCCAACGCCTTGAATTTAGGCCACAGGAAGTCAAGCTGGACTTCTGACCTTTGTCTCAGGTTCTGCACTCAGGGGTACCCAGGCAAGTGAGTAGATTAGTAAGTGGGACAGTACAGGGGTGAACTTGTAATTCTTTGAGAATTCTCCATACTTCTTTCCATAAAGCTTGTATTAGTTTGCAATCCCACCAGCGGTGTAGAAGCGTTCCCTTCTCTCCACATCCATGCTAGCATCTGCAGATTTGGAACTTTATGATGTGAGCTAACTCCTAAATGGAGTTAGGTGACATCTCAGAGTGGTTTTAATTTGCATTTCTCTGATGATTAAAGATGCTGAGCATTTTTTCATGTGTTGGCCAATCGTCTGTCATCTTCAGAGAAGTTTCTGTTCAAGTCTCTTACCCACATAGAAATGTTCGATCTCACAATCCCATTACTGGGCATCTACCCAGAAGAACAAAAATCACAGTACCACAAAAACATTTGCCTCAGAATGTTTACTGCAGCTCAATTCATAATTGGCAAGTCATGGAAGCAGCCCAAATGCCCATCAACCCATGAATGGATTAATAAATTTTGGTGCATGTATACCATGAAATACTATGCAGCCATATAAAGGTGGAGATTTTGTATCTTTTATGTTTACTTGGCTGGAGTTGAAACACATTCTTCTTAGTAAACACACTCTTCTTACTTGACATTACTAAAGTATCTTAAGAATGGAAAAAAAGTATCCAATGCATTCAGTACTAATATGAAACCAATATGTAAACATTTATACACTCTCACGAATGATAGAACACAAATATAGTCTAGCAAGGGGGGACAGGTGAGGAGGGAGAGAGGAGGGGAAGAGAAGGCATTTGGTGGGATCTCACCTAATGTGTATGATGTGGGGGTGTTCGGCGTGCCCCCCCAGGGGTAAGGGGCTCTCCTACAACTTGAATTTTACCTTGGAAGTGAGAACAATGTAACCTAAAAATTTGTTCCCTCATATTAATTTGAAATTAAAAAAAAGAAAGTACAGGGGTGAATACACAGATGAGGAGAAGCAGCAAGTGGATGTGGATACAAAGATGAATGAATGAATGAATGAATGATGAGACTGCCTGGCTGGCTGAGTATGCACAGCCAGACAGAGGAATAGATGGGTGAGTGCACAGTGCAGGCATGCTGCATGAGTGGGGTGCTGTGTAAAGATGGGTGGGCCCATGGAGAGGTAGATGGAAGGAGCATGGCCCAGATGTGTGGCCACACAATCATGAGGGCTACAGTTTGGGGAGCTTCCCAAACCTGGTGCTGCCAGTGACCACAAAGAATAGTCTCTGGAAGCTATAAAATGAGTTGTTTTTATGGAAATACTCTAACACTATTGCTGAAAATGTGCCCCTCAAAACTAACTGGAGATTGACAGGGATAGGGCCAGGAATATGCAGAGATCTTCGTAGATCCAGGACTTTGCATTTCAACAAGTTCTCCAGGGAGCTAGGAGTCACCTGCAGGAATTCCTAACACCTGTCGCTCCCTCTGCCCCAGACTGGAGGAAAACCAGAGTCAGAGCCCAAATGAATAAGCCGGCGGGAGGCCAGTTTTATAAGACACGCTTCCTGAACTGTGAACTGGGTCTATAGCACACACATTTCTGTATAACGTGCACAACCAGTGAAGACGTCTATTCCCGAGGCTTTTGCAGAGGAGGAATGGCTGGGAGAGAGAAGGGCCTGGTCCCAATGGATCCCATGCAAACTGGGATCAAAGGCGAGACAGGCACTGAGGGGAACTGGGGAGGTGGTATTTGAGTTGGACCTGGGGACAAAAGAACATTTTGAAACCACACACACACAGAGAGACACGCGTAGCAGGGAGAAGAGCATTCAGAACAGGGAGAACAGCCTGTGCAGAGACAGGGCGTGGGGACAAACACAGTGTATGTCGGGAGCATCTGAGCTGGCAAGGAGAGGACAGGTCTAATGTTTGTCTCCTCGGGGCCATCCGCACACACGTGCACCCCCCACATACCTCCAGAGTCCCGCAGGATCCGTGTCAGCAAATGTTTCATCAGTGATTTGATAGAAATGCAAGTGCAGCCAGCAGCGCAATGGACGTGTAACAGGCTGGGACCGGGGACTCTGACCCCCAGGCTGAGGACAGTGGGGCATGGGGGAGCTCATGGAAGAGATGTACACACACACACACACCGGACTCTGGGGGAGTCGGGGGGAGAATCGACGGCCCTGCACCCCTGGCCTCGCTGCCTGTGGTGGCTGCTCATCCCAGCGTCTATGAGGACAGAGCCTACGCCAGGAGACAAAGTTCAGTTCTAGTTCTGGCACCAGCACCATCTGTTCATTGATCACCACCTGCTCTCATGACACCCTCCTAAAAGTAAAGCTTTTGCCGGCCAGGTGCGATGGTATAATCCTAGCCCCCTGGGAGGCCAAGGAGGGAAGATTGCTTGAGCTCAGGAGTTCAAGACCAGATGAGCAAAAGTGAGAGCCCTGCCTCCACTAAAAAAAATAGGAAAATCAGCCAGCCCTTCTGGTGGGCACCTATAGTCCCAGCTACTTGGGAGGCTGAGGCAGAAGGATCGCGAGCCCAGAAAGTTGAGGTTGCTATGAAATAGGCTCTCCAGCCTTGGCAGCAGAATGAGACTCTGTCTCAATCAATCGATCAATCAATAAGGCTTTGACTATAGGGGGCACAGAGCTTAGAGGGAAGGACCACCTCTCCAGATGGGGAGGGCAGTAGGAGTCATCTGTAGTACACCTCTGTGCCCAGCCCCGACAAATCCCAGACCCCCCTCAATGCACAACTCTAGGCACCAATATTTTTTCTTTTTACAAGAGATAAGTGAGGTTCAAGAAGGGTGAGGAACTTGCACTCAGTCACGCAGCTGGTTTAATGGTTCCAAGATTCAAACCCAAAGCTTAGGGTCAGGGGCCACGAGGTGCCTGGAAGTCTCACAGTGCTGCAGCGAGGCGTAGAGGAAGGAGATTTCCGTTCTCTTAGGCCCTGAGGAGCAGCAGCCTGCCAGCCACTCATACTTGAGACTCCCCTCCAGGCCCCTGTGGTCACCTGCAGTAGCTTCCTGGAAATAATGCTGGGAAATTGCAGCACATTCAGAGAGGACACCGGTCCTGGTGCCCCACGCTTCAGCGTTCTAGGCCGCACAGTAATATTTGGCTCCAAAAGCTCCCCCCAGATACCATGAGAGGAGGAGCCCCTAAATGCAGGAGCAGGGGGAGCTACAAGCACCAAGTCCCAAGCTGACTGTGCCCACTCAGCTTCAAAGGGAACCCCCAAATTGGAGTGTGGCTTGGGGAAGCCTAGGGCTGGGGAGGAGTCAGGAGAGCTGCTCATGGGACCGTGTGCAGGCACCAGCACATGCAGCTTAGAGAAAACGCAGGTTTGGGGTGTGAAGAGGTGGCTTTGGCTTTGCCTCCACAGCTCTCAGACACTGTCACAGGGCAAACATAGTCTCTGTGGGCCCCCCAGAGGGCATTGCTAAGCCCTGAAGCAAGCAAGAGGCAGTCAGCTCGGCTCAGCCCTGGGAAGGAATCGTGGGTGCTACCTTGAGTCAGAGCAGATTGCTTAGGGAAGAGGAAAGAAGGAGGGAGCCCCAGGATCCCTTCTCTGAGCTGCCTGTGCTCTGGAAGGGCAGTGGGGTCTCCACCAGGCTCCCATGGGCTTTGGATCCCCCAAATCTGGAGCCTGGTGGGAGAGGCAGGAGGGTCCATGCTGGCTACTCACCATCGGTACTGGGCCCAGCAGGCAGAGGACGCAGGTGCCCCATGTGCAGTGGTCCATGCTGGGGGCTCAGCAGCGGCTCCCTCAGACGGCGTTAGTGCACCTTGGCTCTACCTCCCCACTGTCCCTCAACACTGTCGCTGCCACCGCACCCTCCACCTCCCCTTTGTAGGTGGCTGTTTACATAGGCAGGAGGCAGCAAGGGGACACAACCAGCTGAATATTCACCAGGACTGAAGGACACTGTGCCCAACTCAGCCCTGGGCCTGGGGGTGACGTCGTGTCTCCAGCGGGGAGAGGCTGAGTCCCTACCCCACTCGCTTCCACTCTGTCTACAAGTCTGCTTGTAAACTGATAAAAGGGCCCAGACAGGGGACAGCCGCCAGACACTGCTTGCCCTAGTTGGTCAAGATGCTTTGCCATTTTTTTCTCTGAGCCCAGTTCTCTGACACTGAAGTGACCTCTCAAATGCAGGGATTATAGAGAACAGGAAGGGAACCTGGGCCTGCCCTTAGGGACCCCCTCCCCCAGGTGCTCCCAGCCTCACTGCCCAGCAAGGAAGGTAGGGTGTAAGGCCAGAGAGTTGACATGAGCTTAAAAAAGGAAGCATGGCCACCAAGCACCAGCATGGGCTGTCCCAGAATGTGTCCTATCAGCAAGACCTGGTTTCTTTGCCTGGCAAAGACACTAGCCTGGATGTTGAAGTCTGCAGACATCAAGGCTCTGGGAGCTTGTCAAAGTGTCCCCAGAAGTCCTCAGGACAAGAGGGGAAAATGAGGCTGATTTGAAACCTCATAAAGGGATTCATGGAGCCACGCCATCTCAGACAGGGGGAAGACAATTGTCAGTTACAGCAATAAGAGGATTTACACAGCCACTCAAATTCCTTGAACATTCATTGTCTGGCATTTTTGTTATAGTTTTAGACTTTAAAATGCAGAATCACACTTGGCCAGGCTAAAGACAGCATTCTAGATTCCCCGGCACCTTGCACAGCATTTTTGACTTTGAAAGCAGATTTCAGTTTTGAAAGCCCTGGATGTCCCAGCAGCTGATGTGTCCTGACATCCATGTGCAGATTCCCACTCACAGAGGCTGCTGGGCTGGACACCGGGACACCAGACATGTTTACAACCTCCCATCATGAATGTTGAAGGCTCCTTGCCCCTGCCACATCTGGATTGAGAAATCATTTGACATCAGCAGGGCTTTATTTTTTCCATTTTTATTCATTGTCAACAGGATATTGAGGAAAAACATTTTGAAAAGAAAACCTGAGCCATGCCAAGCTCCAAACCTCTCTCCCCTGGTACAAGTGTTTTCATGAGTTGAACAGTGAAATCAGTGCAGCCAGCTCATGTCACGCTGAGCTGGGCACATTTTTCAGGATGAAGCCCAGCTCCTCACTTGGCTGGAAAGGTATAACTTCTGTCTCTCAGCTACATGGAGACAACAATAGCACCAGGAAAAATTATTATAATTAATCCCCATTGATAGTTAGCATCAAGGCCATTACCATTAATAATGGTTAATAATTGATGCTGATAGAGATAATTAACAAACAGTTATTATCTAAATTAGTGGTTCTTAACATGGAGTGATTCTGTCCCCCTAGGAGACATATGTCAATGTCTGGAGACATTTTTTTATTATCACAACCAGAACTTGGGAGTGAGGAAATGGGGTGGGAGTTGTTACTGACGTCTAGTGGGAAGGAGCCAGGGCTGCACTGTAATGTCCCACGACACACACATGGCCCTCCACAGCCATGTGAAGAATCCTGTCCCAAAGGCCAGTGGCCAAGGTGGAGAAACCCTACTCTAATGGTCAGTGTTCCCCGAGGGTCTCCCCAGACCTGTTCTTTCCTTTCTCTAATAATTTCTCCCATTTCCAGATGTCTGGTCACTCCATGTTCCAGGGCAGACACTCACACCCACATCAGGTCCACCCTGGGGGATGGCCCAGGCAGGGAGGGGGCAAAAGAGGAGCCCAAGCAGAGGTTGTGCCTTTGTCCAACCCCTGTAATTTCCCCCAGGCTGGCCAGCTCTGAGGATCAACAGTCTCATGGCAACATTCCCATGAACCCTGAATCAGGGTTTTTCCAGACCCTCCTACACCCCGAGGGTCTGGGGTCCCAGCCTTGTTGCCAAGCAGACTTGTCACTTATGATGCCAAATACAAAAGGCAACCAGAATTCAAATCCTGCCTCCACCACTTGATAACTATCATCAATTGGGCAAGTCATTTAACTTTTCTGAGCCTTAGTTTTCCTATCTAAAAAATGGGGATAATGCTAGTTTCTTCCTACGGAGTTGGGGGGAGATGGGCAAACAAGAAAAGGCATGTAGTCTACAGAACCTTATGCAGAGCCTAGCTCACAGAGGACCATCATTAATGGCAGCATGTAACAAGGATCAGCTATCGGCAAGTAAGTTTAGAACAACTGATTCTTTGTACAGAAATAATGACATTGAATTTCTAGCTCACATTTACAAAATATCAATCCTAGATTTTAGCTATAAAACAATAAGATAATAAGATTCTTTCAAAAAAATACAAATTTGTCTTATGACCTTAGAATAAAGATTTTCTTATTAACAAAAAAAGATAGAAAGGAAAAAAATCAATGTTTGGCATCAGCATTTTAAAAAAATGTGTGGTCAAGAAAGGACACTGCAAATGAAATCTAACATCAAGCTAAAAACTAAAAGAAATATTTGCAACCAATGTCGACAATACATAACATTAAAAATATAGTTTAAAAAATACATACAAAACTGGCTCCGTGCCTGTAGTACAGTGTTTACGGTGCCGACTACATGCTCCGAGGCTGACGGTTTCAAACAGTTAAACAGTTAAACAACAATGACAACTGCAACAAAAAAATAGCTAGGCATGTGGCAGGCGCCTGTAGTCCCAGCTACTAGGAAGGCTGAGGCAAGAGAATCACTTAAGCCCAAGAGTTTGAGGTTGCTGTGAGCTCTGATGCCATAGCACTCTACCAAGGGCAACGTAGTGAGACTCTACCTAAAAAAACAAAAAAACACAAATCAATAATAAAGAGGAAAATGATTAAAAGTGTGCAAAGGATATAAACAGGAAAAGAAGTAAAATGTATGGGCCAATGAACAGTTGAAGATACAGTCAACATTATTAATATCAAAAAATGAAAATTAAAGTAGTATTTTCTGTCCTGGCAATAATTGGTGTTTATGTGTTATAGAATGGATTTGTTTCTTTTTTTTAATGTTTTCAAAATTTTTTTGGTTTCAGATTATGATCAGATTACGTTGTTTGCATTGTAAGGTGAATAAGATGCAGTTGGGTCCTCCGCCTTGTAAGTGTGCCACACACCCCTGCATTGTACCTGTTAGGTGGGAATTTACAGAAGAATAATGCGCCATTATATTTCTGCTTTTTACACACAGTTCTGAAGTATTTTTAGTTCTCTTCTGAGTTCTCTTACCATTCAAACCATTTTATAGGGAGTCCATTAGAGGTACAAAGAAAAAATGTTAACATCCTTGAGAAAGATTTCTCCAGAAATGAAGTCTTTGATGAAGGCTTAAATATTAGATCCTTCAATTGTTAAACTTATAAACATTGCTCCAAATTTTAGAGCTTTTCTAGACTCTAGTGAGTAAATATTTCTACTTGTTATATGAGAAAGTAAAGGCAGGTTATAAACTTTACTGGACAGCTTATGAAAGTGTTATCAAAAATCCAAATTAACTGCTTTTTAGGCACCTTTATTATTGGTTGTGCAATTTATGTTTACATTGTGTAATATATGCTTACTATGATTAGCTAATAGTTTATAATATATTAAATTTACAATGAAGTTGTAATTTATATAATGTATGTGTATACATAGTTTATTTTACATTGAGTTCTTTTCAATAATTTCTGTGTTTAATATGTTCCTAACTGTATTGTGCCCTTCATAGCAAAATTATAATATTTTAGATTTTTCTAGACAAAAAAAGAAAATTAAAATAATAAATAATACTAGGCTACCATTTTCAACTATCATGTTGCCTAAAACTTTAATATGTGATACCACAATGTTTGGATGATAATTTGGGGAAATAGGAACATTCATATAGTACAATGGGAGTGAATATATTAATATATATCCATTTTGAAAAATAATTTAGTATTACCTATTGAATCTATAAATGAACACACCCTCTAAACCAGAAGTTCCAATTCTGGATATTGGTTTCCCAAGGGCAGTAATGTTTATAGCATGAAGTAAAAACCAGAAAACAACGCAATTGTCCAATATGTGCATAAGAATGTAACTAAATGTCCTTATGATAAGGGCATCACTAAACAGAGTGTGATCTGCTCACACAGTGGAATACTATAGAGCCATTAAAAAGATGTGAAGGTGGAGATATCTCAGTATGTACTAACTAGAATGAAACACAAAGAGAAAAAACAATGAATAAAAACTGGGAAAAACATTTTACAAAAGAATAGAATATAATTTAATTATAGCACAATATCAAGGAGTCTAACATAGATGTAACTGGAGTTGCAGAAGGAGAGAAAAGTTCAGAAAAGTATTTGAAGAACAAAATGGCTAAAGACTTACAAAGTTGATGAAAAATACATATCTACGAATACATGATTGAAGAAGTTCAAAGAACAGCAAGCAGAATAAACAAACAAAAACACTCCAAGGCACATGACAATTAAATCAGGGAAAGCCAGTGATAGAAAAATCTGATCATCAATCAAAGGGGAAAAAATACTTTGTGTACAGGATAACAAAGGTAAGAATTATCGTGGATTCTCATCAGGAAGTATGCAAGTCAGAGGCAGGGGAGAGATAGCTTCAAAGTACTGAAAGAAAAAATCATTCCATCTCTATCTCTTTGTTAGTGAAAATACCTTCCAAATAAGACACCACTTAAATGAATGAAACAACATTGAAAAGAGAAATAAAGGATGAGAATTCACTACCAGCAGAGCTGTGCTACAAGAAATACTAATGAAAGCTTTTCATGTCAAAAGGAAAATGAAAACAAATGGAAATTTTGAACTACACTAAA